GTACTTGGGAGTGACGCGGCATCTATGGACTGCTTCTGCAGTGATCTTGTTATTTAAAGTGTTGTTGTTATTTATATTTCTTATTATTTTTTTTTCGGTTGGCTCTACAGAGCTTGTAGATCTTTGGACGCCTGAACCAGCCTTCTCCACCACTGCCTGTCTTGGGCTACTGCTTTCCAGTTTGCGGCATGAAGCTCAGCCGTATCTTTGTTTATCGTACCTATCCATCTGGTTTTTGGCCTCCCATGTGGTCTCTAGCATACTACTCTGGCATTCATTGTCGTGTAAAGGCATCCTGATGGATTACTACGAGCTACATGCCCTACCCATCTTAACTTCATTGCCTTCATGTCATGAGATATTGACTGACTCGTTTCTTTCAGCAGTTCTTTATTGTTCCTTCTCCTCCATGTGTCAAGGTTCTGGTCCCATATAGGTCCTGTTATCCTACGTAGAACTTTTCTTTTGAATCTCTCAATTCTGGCTTCTAATGTGCCGATTAGAGCCCAGGTTTCACAACCATACAGCAGAACTGGCTTAATAACGGCGTTGTACACCTTTATTTTAAGATTTCTGGAGATTTTTTTGGATTTCAGTACCTTTGAAAGAGAGAAGAAAGATCTGTTTGCAATTAATATATATATGTATGTACATATATATATATATATATATATATATATATATATATATAATAATAAGAAACAGGCAAAAAAGAGGACACACCAAATATATTTATATTTCTTATTATACGAGAGTCTAATTTCATATGAAGATAGGGATTATCAGAGCCTTATAACAATTATCAGTGTTCAGATTATAAACATTTAATAATAAGAAATATAAATAACAACAACAACACTTTAAATAACAAGATAACTGTAGATAGCAGTCCATAGAGGCCATTATTTTTTTCAAACTATTTAAAAAGGTTACATTTAGTTAGTAAATTTCACTTAATTTTTTTGAAAACATGAGATTTAGGTTAAATATTATTAGTTTTAAAAAAATTTTATTTATAATTTTTTTGCCGCTCTCCGTTACCTTCTATAACTTTCTTTACTAGACATTGTTTTTTCTAAAATTCTCCGCTTTCCAACGATATATTATACGTATATCTTCTGACTAGTATTTCCGGAGATTCATTTTCGACCTGGATAAGCATTTTTATTTTTTTCTCCATTATTCAATTATCCAATTCTTTCAAAAGTTATATTTAGCATTTTTTTTCGTAACTCTTAATAATGAGAGATAGATAATTATTCAAAATAAACCATATTAAAGGTACTTAAGAGGAAGACGCACATGAACATTGGGCATTTAATCCCTCTAAAGTGATATCAACAGTGATAAGATCTAAATGATATTAAAGACCACTTAATTATACACCGAGTTTAATCAAAATCGTTAGAGCCGTTTTGGAGAAAATTGTAAAAATGTGTTTCACCGTTCATTTAAAGTGGCACTTCTGGTTAGCCAATTTTAAGGAAAAAGTTACTGTTATATCTAAGGCATATACCTATCTTAAATACGTCATCAGTTTCATACGACTTTACGTTTTTGAGCTAGACTGCTAACATACTAACACCCAGACCATTTTTCGGGACATGGTTATTTGGACTGAGGGTACTCCAAAATGTGTATTTCCGTTGAAAACTCAGATTCAAAAATTTTCACGATCGCAATTCTTACCCTTACTATGTATTACATATATATGTAAGTGGAAGTAAAAAACTCAAAGTAAATTCCGATTGCGATCATATCAGAGACCAAATAATTAGTACCTTCCTTCATGAAAAAGTTTCCAACAGTAGCTATTTTAAAGAAAGAACATTTTCTAATGAGAAACATACAAATTATTATCCTGACCAGTTTTATGAATTGCATGGATTCTTTAAGGTGACTATAGTTGCTGGAGGTTGCAATGCGTCCAGATCTATCAGAACTGCATAAAAACTGTGTCCTGGAGAAAACTGTATTTTCTTGTGCTCTAATAAAAGGTTGTTTGAAAGAATAAATTAAGTTATTTTTTTATATTTTATTTAATTTTACTCCATCATGTACTTCACCGGCGAGACTCAGTTCAGAGTCAGTAGGGTACAGACTGCGACAGGAGCACAAGCCTTCGCATCTCACGGTAGCCCAAAAACTACATAACTTCACCCTACGAGCCAATTTTTGCTCTTACATTCTATTCTTTGTTTCATAAAATCTCGCCGTGTACCAAAGGTCAGACGCAAGTTGATCCACAGTCTGGTGAGCTGACGTGACAAATCGTAAGATTAATAAAAATGTTCATGATAATAATTTTATTTAAATATTACGTTAGAAAATTTGTCTTTTATGATGAATTCTCCCTATATTTCTATTTTCTTTAAATAGCTGCTTTTTTTCCATCATTAAAGGGAGTAATTTTTTAATTAAAAAAATAATTTACCTAAGTCATACTTAGCCCTGTTGTTTTTTGCATACTTCGCATTTATTTAATTTATTTATTTGCACTAATTATTGAGTTAAATTACTTTTACTTTGTAAGTACTAATTTATTTATAATCTTTTTTTCTTGGCGTACATATACTTGTATTACTATTATGTTTATATTACCATTATGAAATGTGTACTTTCCATCTTTTACAATGTTTTATTTACATACTTCATTCTATATCTCATTTTTTTTAATGTAATTTTTGTCCTCATGACCTATTTGCATGGGTCGAAACATCGGCAAGCTTAATAAATAACATGAAGACGGCATATCCTGACATTTGTCATCCTAAAAATACATTTATTTGAGAAAATATTAAATAGTATTCCAGTGACTTAAATTTTTCAAAAAAAATTCAACAATTAACAAACATAAATATTAAATGTCTATTTATTATAATTAGTTATTATAAATAACTTAATAGCTCGAGTCACAGCTGGTGGCATGGATTATTACATCCCAATCGCCAAAAGTCCTCCAAGAGGTTATTAACCCATTCCTGGGATGTATTGTAACACTTCTCTATCTCTATCTCTCACTGGCATTTTCTACTTTTTCCTTTAAGAGCCTACTTGGAATAAAATCCTTGAGTTCATGTATATTTGAGCATAACGTTCACATAGGCATCTAAAAATGAAACCATCTATGACCCATGGATCCACTTGAAACACATCCCAATGATCACATGAAAACACATCAGGCAATGGATGTACGGCGAGTAATATGTCAGTTTCTTATAGGGGCTTTGGTCAAACTAAGACTGGGTTATTGGACAAAACACATAAATTAGGATTAATAAGTCTTCTCATTTCAAAAAGAAATTAATACCAAGAAAATTTTATATACAAGACATCTAAATTTCGATTTCTGATTAAAATGTGATCCTTAAGAAATGAACCTAAACGAAACTGTCATTCATATGGCCAAAAGACCTTAGTTGTTTTTGATATTACCTACTTAAAGGTGGACCTTTTGATCTTACCTTCTTAAAGGTGGACCTTTTGATCATATCTCTAAAATGTGAACTAACCTGTTTAAAACATAATAAGAGTTTAATGATTTTATATATGATGAATATGGAGCCTCCAGACACCATTACCTTAGCTGCTAATACAGGGTAAGAGCTCTATCAAAATTGTAATAACATGAATTCTTGCACAATCTGTTTATAAACAGTGCTGCTATGAGAAAAAGCATCAGCTCTGTCAGTAAAGAGCCTAATTGAGAATAGTGGAATTGATATAGCCTGTTGCTAACTTTGACATTGCAGTGACTAAAAAAAACAGGGGAAAAAGACATAAACCAGAGATTATTCATATTCTATTTGAAAGATGCTTATAATTTGACTATTAAAACCTTCCAATATACTTCTAAAAACTATAGATATACAGTAATTGTTGTATTATAAATAAAGTGAAGTATTAATTTTGTGCAGGTGTTTATTTGTAGCTAAAATATTACAACTAAGAAGGGGAGGAATGCTTTATCTGATATTTTCAAGAGGAATATTAATGAAATTACAGTACCTTAAAATTCATGAAACTTTACACCATTAGTCTAAAAAAAAATAATAAAACACCACAAATACCATCCAAAAAATTAATAAAGCGAAAATTCGTTTGCATATAAATTGGATAGGTTTGTGTCCTATTTTCAAAGTTAAATAAGCCTAAAAAGGAAGAGTGCCCTAGATTATTGGTACCATTAGTGAGGGGAAATAAGTTTGTGTGGGCCTAATGGCCCTTTTAGCCAACCCCAGACAGCTATCTAGAGGATACCTCCCCATACGAAAGTAAATAGACATTTCAAGATTCATTTCTCAGAACCGCTAAAAACACAAATGGACACTTTAAAACCCTTGCCTTAAACTCCTTGGAAATCGAAACTTCTAATTTTTTTAATACAACCAAAATAGAAAAAAAACATGTTACAAAAAAGATACAACACTATCACTAAATTTATACTTTTATTACATGTTAACTACTGAAGTTATACCTTGTTAACTACTGAAGTTTTAAAGCGTCTTTTAAAAGTGTTATTGAACTGAGATGATTGGCACAAGATCTTATAGTCACGCTATAAATGGAATTCCAAGAATGGCTGAGTAAGTCCGAAAGTAGAAGAAGGTTGGCGACCGAATAAGAAAGTAATGCCGTGGCCTCCAGTGAAAATGAACGATTAAGAATTTGCTCAACACTTTAGAGTGAACATAAGTCAAAGCAGCAATGTAATTAAATTCAATGAAGATCCTAAAATTAACTGAGAAGGACCAATCAGGAATTTATAGAAATCATATTTTGCAATCTAAATCAATGGAGGTTATACTGTGAACATGCCAATACTTCATGGTCCTCAGAATTCTATTTAAAGTGAGATCATAAGATCGTGGGCCACCAACCAAAGTGAAAAATTACTTGGAAAGTAATCCCTTTGAAATAATACAAACAACAATTAACAAGAATGGTCTGATTAATACAATAATAAAAAAATCTAAATGGCCATAGACATGAGAACTCACCCTAACATCCCAATCCTGATTCAAATAGTAAATTGCAGTTATGCAGCGACCATCTTTATTGGGATTATCAACATGAGTTACATAATGTGAGCCGTGACCAGGGTAACATGCAACCATGGCCTAAAAACAAAGAAATTAACTGCTTTTGAACTTATTAATGACATAATTTCATCATAAATGCAATTTTTAAAACTCTACATTAATTAATTATTAACCTTAGTCCTTCCATTTATTCTGTAATTTCCCATTTTACCATTATTTGTCATTGTGTTAGCTGTTAATACAACAGCGTCAACTCTTCTAATTAAACAATCAATGTTCCTACAGTAAGATTCTTTACCATCAATCCATGTTATCTGGTCACTACGAATGGTCTTTAAGTCTGCTTTTAATTTATTAGTAACAAGCTGACCATCTTTAAACACTCCAGTTTTATGCATCTCGATAACTTCCTTTAGCACTGCAAGACCTTTTTCTTTACCAAGGAAATCATCAACCACACAAACACCAAATGTATTCATGTCTTTGATAACATTACAAGATATTTCTTCCAAGATATCTTGTTCATAAACCGAATTTTTATTCATTGCAGAAGCAAGAACGTTTTCACTTTGCAAACAAATATCTGAGAATCTTTTAATGTTTAAACCTTCATTTTGACAATCAGATTTGGCAGAACCAGTGTTTATTGGAGATATTGTGTCTCCTTTATCATAGTAATAGAAGTTGGGTTTAAGTTCTTCAGCTGTTGTTGCTATAATCTCTTCTTCAGAACTTCCTGCTGAAGTAAAGGGCCTATTAGACTGCGATGTATCTGCATCAGACTTATAATTCAACAGACTAGAATGCATAGAAACTGGATTCAACAACGCTTTATCAAACATCTCTTTAACTGCATGGGTAGTATTCCGAGAAACACTAATACAATTAGGTTTATGGCTTTTCCAATCACTAGTTTGATGTTCCTTACAACAGTAGTAAACGCTTTTACAGCGTGAACAAATCAACAAATTGTTAGCCGTTCCACATTTTGCACATCGTGAAACTGATTTCATTTTTTAAACTTTATGATTTTGGCTATGGGACATATTTACAAAACGATAGAATAGAATACCACAGAACTAGCCTGCACAAACAGGACCACAGAAGTCAACCAAGATAATTCCAAAGAGCATCAAGATAACAATCAATTCTTGTTCAAAATTTCAGGTAATATATATATATATATATATATATATATATATATATATATATATATATATATATATATATATATATATATATATATATTCATTCATTCATTTATATACACCAGTCATTTGTATACACGTACATACATTTTTGATAAGTATATTTATATGTTCAATTTATAATATATTGAAATATAGAAGAATAGAATAGAAGAATCAACTTTATTTTGGGACAAAGTCCCTTAAGAATAACAATTTTGTACATAAAAATTAACATTCCATCTGGCCAAAATACATATTACAATAAAAAAAAATAACTAAAAACTAAGTGATAGCAGAAGTATATATTTATATACAAATGATAAATAGAGAAAAGTGCAATTTTGTTACATAATAAATGGCTACCCAGCGTCTGATTGAATTGTAAGGAGGAATTGGAATAGGAGGATTTTAAATATGGATAGGGATGGTGCATGGCGGATTTTAAGTGGGATGGAATTCCAAAAGGCAGTGGAGCGGACAATAAAGGAGTGTTGAAAGGAGGCAGATTTGTGGAAAGGGGTATAAAGGTCAGAAGGACGAGATCTTGTGGAGATGGAGTGGATAGATGACTTAAATTGAAGGAGATTGAATGGGTGGGACGGATGATGATTATGGATTATTTGGTAAAGGAATGTACCTAGGAAATATTGTCTTCTGAAGGAGGGGAAGAGCCACCCTAACTCGGCGTAGTAGTGAGATACACGAGAACGTCTCGGGGTTCCATTGACAAATCTTACTAAGTCATTCATGATTTTTTTCAATCTGTCTCCCAGTTCCGATGAGAGGCCACCGTACACTACGCAGCCGTAGTCAAGGTGGGGGAAGATGAGGGCAGATACTAGGAGTCTACGGAAATATATATACACTGACAGGCAAAAAATTCCACCAACTTGATTTTTTCATGTTTTCATCCAAAAATATTTCACCCACTTGTAAAAAAAGTTGTATTTGTATATAATACATGGTATTTATAGATAATACTTAGTATTTATGGAATTTTATAATCTTTTTTACCTTTAATAATCAAAATGTGATTGGGTAAGAAAGATTAGAGAAAAAAAAATTGAAAAACGAACCATTATTATTCTAAAAGAAATTAATTACATCATCGTTTAGTAGCGCGTGTTTCCTCCTCTTGCCTTCACTACTTCTTGAAGACGCCTCGGCATACTTTCCACCAGTCGGGAAATGTCCCTTTGCTGGAGGATAGCCCATTCCTCCCGAAGAGCCCTTTCAAGGTCCTGCAGTGTATCAGGAAGTGTTGCACGCGCTCTTATTCGTCTTCCGAGGTTATTCCATAAATGCTCAATGGGGTTCAAATCTGGAGAACGTGCTGGCCAGGCTAAAACCTCAATATTGTTCTGTTGAAGGAACGTCTGCACTATGCGGGCGACATGTGGGCGTGCATTATCGTGCATTAGAATAGAACGATCGCCGATTTCGTTGAGGATAGGCAACACATGAGGTTCCAAAATCTCATCTACATAGCGAATGGCCGTCAAAGACCCTCCACGAACAACAACCAATTCTGTGCGGCGCTCCATTGAAATCCCAGCCCACACCATTAAGGAACCACGTTGGAAAGGTTGGCTCTGGGAAAAATTACAGGCTGCATATCTTTCGTTTCTTCTTCTCCACACCCTTTCACGCCCGTCTGGAGATCGAAGAGCGAATCTTGACTCATCTGTAAAAAGTACAGCACTCCATTCGTCCATAGTCCAATGGCTGTGTTCTCGAGCAAAAGCCAGCCGTGTTACTCTGTGAGTTCTGGTCAACTCTGGTCCTCTTACTGGACGAAAAGCCATTAATCCATACTCATTTAATCTTCTCCGAGCGGTACGTTCAGAAATTTGCACACCTCGAACTTCTTCGAGCTGATGAATCGCTTGAACAACGGTAAGGTGCCGGTTTCGTAAAATTCTCAAAGTCAAAAACCGGTCATCCCGTGGTTCTGTTACCCTAGGCCGTCCAGAACCGGGCCTTCTATTGTAAGAACCAGTTTCCCGAAAACGCCTGACGGCGTCTCGTAAAGTTTCATATGGAACTCCGATGGCATTAGCTGCATATCTAATGGAACGTCCACCATCAATAAGTGCCACACCACGCGCAACATCCTCAGCACTAAGAGGCATTTTTAAACTTAATATTGAAAAAATTAAAAACCGGAGACTAAGAAGTGTGCTGCAAGAAACGGCACTGTACTAATGATACTGAATAAACATTTTGATTCCATAGAAAGTAAACATTGGAATCTAGAATCATTTCATTGAATTAAGGATTAAGGGTTATTGTCCTCTATATTAACATTCCTAATTGAAAACAAACAAAAATATTACCTATTTATTCATTAAAAAAATAGACCAATCCAAAGTAGAAATATTTTTAGATGAAAACATGAAAAAATCAAGTGGGTGGAATTTTTTGCCTGTCAGTGTATATAGGGGATGGGGTAGCCGTGCGGGCTAAGGCGCTTGCAATAGGTAACCAAGTTAAGCAACGTCTAGATTGGTTAGCACTTGGATGGGTAACCGTCCACCAGGTTGGCTACGCTGTGCAGGTTTTCCCTGCACCCGGGTATGTGAGGCATACTACTGGAGGCAACTCACACCGACCGGGCGTAGTAATGATGACCATACCCCCGTGTACTTAAATCAGGAATCGGGATGTGGTCTAGGACACAAAACAAAGTATCACCCACCTACCGAAACATATGGATATTAGTTTTATCTTTTAAAAACAATATCGGATGGTAGTTTCCTCCCCCTCTCCCAAAAATAAATAAATAAATAAAAGCAATTATATATTTTAGTATTGATAAAAAGAGCCAGAATCAGATGGTTAGGCCATGTGGAAAGAATGCCATACAAAAGAATGCTGCATGAGAAGCCGGATGGCAAAAGAAATAGAGGGCTCCCTCGGAACAGATGGCTGGAGGATGAAGAGGACGATCTAAGGCGGGGGGACGTTCAAAGATGGAGGGAAGTAACACAAGAGTGGAGATTGGTTGGCTGTAGTGGAGGAGGCCCGTGTGCATGATCGTAGCGCCATAATAATAATAAAGCAAAGTATTATCCATCTACCGAAACATATGTATATCTGTTTTATCTTTGAAAAATAAAATCGGAGGGGGCTTAACTCCCCCTCCCTCTCACTCCCCCCTCCCCCAAAATAAAAATGAAAGCAAAACAAAGTATCACCCACCTCCCGAAACATATATCCATTTTATCTTTGAAAACATTTATCAATGTTTTATATTTTATAAAGGCATTAAGAAAATAAAAAGGGGCTTCCAACCAAATATCTCGTACAGCAAGACAAACGAGGGGGCCATAATAGGCGAGCCTGCTAAAATATTGCAGAGAGTCTTAATATTTCAGAGAAATTCTTGTAGAATCCAACCACCAAGATAGAGAGGAAAGAATGAAGCTGCTGAAATGCCGACTGGGTGTACCCGGAGAAGGAGATGAAGAAGTAGAGCCGCCTGAACAGGAAGAAGTTGAAGAAATCATTGGCGAATTAAATAACTATAAGGCTCCTGGTATTGGTGGCATACATTCAGAAATGTTTAACAAATTTTTATTTGTTTTTGGGGGGTTTCCCATACAAATAGAGCCTAGCTTGGCTATTGTAGAATAATATGGTTTTACAAGTTACATACATATCCTTTAAATATAAATAAACTTTACAATATTTTACGTTTAGAATGGGTTTCACAAAACATGAATAACAATAAAAATTAAAAACATAAAACGATTACTGCATAATAATAGTTATATGAACCTGTTACTATGATAGAACAATAAAAAATAAAATACATATATATAAACAAAATATAACTTTTAAGATAAACTAAAAACAAACACTTAATAGAACATGGGCTATGATCAACAACGTTGTGTATGCACTTTGTGTACTCCCATCACATAATAGTAAACTTTATTTAATTTATCTATACAATCGATATTCAATATGGTTTCGATGTTGTGGTTATCAGAAGATTCTGAGATGAAGTTATTATACAAAAATTCCTCCATAACTTTACATTCTTCTGAATGTGATGTAGACTATTGTAGATAATTTGACTGCATAATATACAAGTTTCTTGAGACTCAATCGAAAAAGTTGTGTTTTTTGCATAGATTTTGATATGTTCTGGGTTTGCAACTCTTAATTGACTAACACATCTCAATTTCTTTAAATGGACTTTGTATGTAAGGTACGTTTCGGGATCGGGAGCATTGTAACTGCAAAGCATTCTGTATAAAGGATAGTTAGTTGAGTTTAAAGTTGTTGGCTGAGTAATAATGGTTGTGTGCTTTTTCCAGGATGTCGTATTTGTATCGAAGAAGTCCGTTTGTGTGGTGAACAGAAAGCTCTTCTGCAAAGGCATTAAGCTCGGTTATTGCTCTAAATTGAGACATCCAATTGAAGTTTATGCCAGGCTTATCTTTGTCTAATGATTTAAGTCTATTAAAACAAAGTTTTGGGAGTCGCTCTTCTGGCATGAACTCGAGCTTGGTCCATGGATTTATCAGTTTTTTTATCACATTCACGCTTAATGGTTCTCTTCCTGTTTCGAGGCGGACTAAGTAGTTTGGGGTATTTCTGGGCCAACCAAACAGTTGCTTTAAAAATTTAAGTTGGACCGTTACGATTGTCTGTCTTAAACGTTATTCCGATTAGCGCTGAAATGGTGAAGATATAAGCTTCTAAGCTCCGAAAGGTCTTCTGTCCATAATGTGTCCTATAGAATATACTCCATTCCTCCATGGTTACTGCATTATCATTGGGTTTGTATTGTTTCAAGGAATTGACTGTTTTCCAAAACTGTTTGCTATTCTTTATATCCTGCAGGTTTTTTATATTTGAAATCTAAATTCTTTTCTCTTGCTCTTAATTAATGTTCTATAGGAATCCCTTGTT